TGGTGAAAAAAGGGAACCAGATAAAATAGCTTTGATTGAGGAAACTTGGCGCAAGCAATGAGTAGCATGAATGCACAACTGCTGTTGTAAATGACCCGTATAGCAAAACAGTCACCTTACTCAATTTTTTCGAACCATCTCTGTGCTTGTTGGAAGAAGATAAAGTAACCTCATTTAGTCTTCATTGTCTTTATAGTGTTATTTGATGTAATTAATTGTGGAGTTTCCCCCCGGCTTATAACAAAGTTTGCGTGGTGGAAGCAGGTAACAGATGCTGCTGAAGATCTGCACGTAATCTACTGATATGATAGAACCAGCTTTTCCCTGCGCTCTTATCGCGCGCTGTCTTGCTCTCCGTGTTAACCCTGAGCTTTCCCCTGCCCCTTAGCAGATGGGAACTTCCCAGATTTCAGTTTGATGCGAAAAAGAAAACAAAGATCCAGGCTGAATATGGGAGCCTAGAAAAGAGGTGACTGCAACTGCCCTGTGCTCTTTAACTCTCTTCAGCAAATTGCATTAGTATGTGACAAATTGGCTTGCAAAGCAGCTAAATGGAAATGGCATTTGGAGCGGTTACTGTGCAGACCCTGTGGTGTCTGGGGGAAACATGTGACTTGCAGTATCTCCCCGAGATCTCCGATTTAACTACTGCTACGAGGCTTTCCAGAACTTACTTTGGGAACTTAGGTTGCAGCTAGACCTGAGGCTCCAGGGCATGTCTCAAAAGAATAGCCCAAAAGCTGGAGCAGATACAAGCACAGACTGTCGCACGCAGTAGGCAACTTGCGTGAAGAACTGAGCGGGAAAGCAAAAAGAAATGCCTGCAAATTGCCTGGGATATGTGGCAAAAGAAGGTTTAAGGAGGAAAACCATGCTTGCTATTTGGTGCCGGCGTGATGCTTCCCGTAGGGAGCTGGGTTGCAGCTCGGCAGTACCTTTGTTCAGCTGAGGCTGTTTTGGTGGCTCTCGGCGGAGCGAGCTGAACTGTGCTGCAACAGGAAAACGTACACCTGCTTCTCTCATCCTGTTCCTCTGAGCGCGTACGCGTCTGTTTGAACGCGGCAGTGATCAAGCCGTTTTAATTGGCCCCTCTGCAGTTTGAACAATAAATATGCAATGGGGAGGAGTGTGCCCCCTCCTCCACGCGCTTTTGAGGCTGTCGCCGCTGATGGGGACGGGTGCTCTCTGCTCACCTCCCCCTGTGCGCGGGCACCGCACAGGCCCTCCCGCTCCAGTCCCCGTTGCTTACGGGGGGTGAAAATAGTGTGCCCCCCCCCCCCAATTTTGCATCCTTAAAAAGAAAAAAAAGATGAACCTGAGCGTGCAGCGCTCCTGAGACAGGCCCCTTCACATTTCTAAACACTCCTGATTATTCAGCTAATCTTTATTTCATGCGCATGTTACAAGAAACACAAACGGGGGAGAAAGTGGAAGGCGGTGACACATTTAAAATACACAAGAAAAGCGCTGGCAGGAATATAATCGTTCTTATTCTGGCGATATGAAATATTTATGGGTCTAAGTTGTGGCAAGATTCTCTCCCCGCTCCCACCTAACCCCCTCCCAAGCGCGTTGCCCGGGACGGTAAGGCGTCGGGCCCGGCTCGGTCGCTCGCGGAGCCGTCCTGCCCCAGCTGTCTCCGGGGCGCTGGGGCCGGGGAGGGCCCAAAAAAGGTGACGAGCCCCCGTGGAGGTGCCCGGGTTTCGTGGGAGCCCGCTGCTCCCCTAGGGCCTTCTGCTGCTAATTCATTAGATCTGAGGGTTTTTCCCTCCGTAACCCTCCCCCCCACACTTCTCTTCTGCTTTTTTTCTTCTCTCCCTTTCCCCAGCAATTCAAACAGTGATGAATGGACAAAAATCCCTCAAGGGAAACATTTTTTCACTTAGTTACAAAGATTTCATGGCTAATTAGAGTAAATGTGGTTTTTAGAGTGTTAATCTCTTAACCAGCTTGGCTAGGAGGGCCACCACAAACACGAGCAAGGGGAGGGCAAGAGGGAGCGGAGGGGGAAAAGGTACCGTCGAGTTTTTCTTGGGGCTTAGCCACAAACCCTCCCGGCTGACACTCCGCGCCTTTATGATTACCACCAAGAGCATCCTGTATGTGACCTATTTACAGCCGCTAATTCACTGCCCCCCTCGGATGCCCGCACCTCCTGCCTTGGCGTTCAAGGCTGCTTCCCGCGTTGCGAGAGCAGAGCTCGGCTGTGCAAGACTTTCAGGCGTTTCGGTCTGAGGAGGCCGCAAGTTCTTTGTCTGTGCAGAGTGGTTCAGGGAGCCTCGAGGATGAAAAGAAGGGTGAACAAAAGGAGAATTCAGGGCAGTGTATTGTTCTTGGGAGGCAGAGGCTGCTGCCTTAGGGGGCTTGATGTTCACATTCTTTCTCTGCAGTTGAATTATATAAATGTATTTACTGGTGCGTTTTTAGTGCCAGCGAGGGAGATGGCCGGAGAGCTTTTGGCGCACCCAGCGAAGGGGCAGGCGGCTCGGATGCCCGCCCCGAGCGTGCCG